AAGGCAAACATTTGAACATTAGAACGGGTCATGATCAGATATAATAGACATTCATTGTCTGTTATATTTAATAATATATGTTTGTATATATATATATATATATATATATATATATATATATATATATATATATATATATATGTGTGTGTGTGTGTGTGTGTGTGTGTGTGTACGTTCGTGTGTGTGCGTGCGTGTGTGGTTGTGCAGCTATGTGTGTAAATAAATCTCCATAGATACGTAAACCAGACAAGGCGAAAACATCTTCCGTTTTAAATTTAGACACTCCCACTTTACACTGACTTGACATCTATGAATGTAACTCTATACTGATGCAAATTATTTACACTCAACACCCCTTCCTATTTAAACAATGGCCCTGGCTGTTACCATGGAAATTTTGATTTCAATAATGAATATACTATTAAAACACGTAAATTTCAGAAATAAGTCAGTCCCCAAAAATTTCGCTTGAAGATGGAACAGGGCGTACTTTAATTCAATGTAATTCAAATAATTATATTGAAGTTTTTGATTGTGTGTATTCGTATGTGTTTTTGAACATAGAAATATAGGTCCTTGCTGGCTCAGATAATCGTTATATTTATCTTTATATATTTATATTTGATTTGTAACCTGTAGTCGATATTAAATTTGTCAAATTTTCTCAATTACAAGCGGGCCTTTAAGTAAACGCAATTTTACTTTCCTTTGTCCCATTTCTCTCCCAAACCTCGTCTTTCCCTCCATCTTATTCTAACATTAGATTGTCTATGGTGTGTGTATGTCACCACGAAATGTATCTTTATGCATTAGACATCCGTCAACATTCATTTTTTTCTCTTAATTAAACCCCTTCCACCCATTTCCCCTAAAATTCTCTCTGTTAAGGTTCAAATACACGAACAGTACAATTCTTTCCAATTGTATCTGGGAAAGTAAAAATAACACAAATCACACCAAAAATGTCTTGGAAAATAAGGAAAGGATCATCAGCCTACAACAATCAATCAAAACCTGCAAACTTCGCTTGCAAACTTAGCTATTAGACCAAAATTATTTACTTAGTAAACGATCTGAGCTCATCTTAAAATGCAGACATAAAAACTAAATCGAAAACTGAAATACGAATTAGGAAAATAATATAAAAGTAAAATAAATTAACTCAAACAAATAATAAACAAATTAACAAACCACTCTTGTTAGAATAGACGAAATAGAATAAATAAAAATAAAATACATAAAAACAAGTAAAAATAATCAACTCAAATAAATAAAGTAAATAATAATAAACAAATTAACAAAATAATCCCGCCAAAATAACCGTCAGAATAGAATACAACAACGAATCCAAAAATTGAGCATAAAAATAGCTATAACTTCTATATACCCATAAAAAAACGAGACGTTATGCAAAAAATCGAAAACGAAATAGGGTAAATAAAAATATAGGAAATAAATAATAAGTAAATAAATAAAAAAACAAATAAAAATTAATCCAAATGAATGAACAAATTAACAAATCGCCCCCGCTAAAATAACCATTACAGATAATAAAAAAAAATAATCAATCAAATAAAACCTGTTCCCCGCCGAAATAACAAAATAGATTACGGCAATCAATCCAAACATTGGACGAATAAATAGCTTTAATTATCTTCCCAGACCAAGACTAACGAGCTAAGCAAATCTCCCCACAATTTTTTTACTGCATTAATAAAACATCAAAAACCGAAAAGAATAAAGAATAGAAAATGAAAATGAAAAACAATTAAAATAAAGTAACCCAAATAAATAAATAAATAGACAGTACACTCCCGCAATAACAACCGCTAGAATAGATTACCCACAATGCACCACTGACCCATATATATATAAAATCCAACATTCGCGGTCTGAGGATTGCGTCTAGCATGAAACAGCTTGTTGCCTTTAAGTGTTGACTTCAGAAGATCACTTTATATATATATATATATATATATATATATATATATATATATATATATATATATATATATATATTACAAATTTTTGGGCCGGGTTCCTCACAATTAAAAAACAAGGACAGAAGAATAATAAAAAATTATAAATAAAAATATACCTGAAAATCGTTCTTTTTGTCTTATTAATTTGAAAGAAAGTTTACGTTAAATGATGCTGTGTTGCCATATACACTAGGTTGCATTTGTCATTCGTGTGCACGTGTGGCTAGTCTAACTTCAAAATTTAACGCATGTAGTAGTGAGTTAACTAAACATTTTCCGTTTAAGAATGGCATTGTATTCATATCATGAGCAAGTGGATATGATTTTAACATCGGTCAGCGCGAACATACGGTCAAGTGGCTGCACGGCTGTATCAGACTGCGTTTCCCGACCGAAGTTATCCTTGTCATCCAACCTTTTCCGTTATTTATAGTCACATTGCTGAGACAGGATCGGTGGCACCATAAACTATGGATCGAGGAAGATCGAGATCTACTCGTATGAATGACAACGATGAACACATTCTACAGGTTCTCGGAGACGATCCAGTAATCAGCAGCAGTCAAATGGTCCTAGTACGTCGTGCATCTCACAATACTGCATGGAGTGTACATCAAAAGACCTCCTGTATTCGTATCATTTGCACCTTATGCACGGTCTTTCACCCTATGATCACTCACCAATAAAGCATTTTTTACGATGGTTCCTGATCCGATGTTTGTCTCTTCGGTTTTGTTTACGGACGAGACAACATTTGGAAGAGATGAAACATCAAACGTACACGTCTAACATTTGTGGGCGGTTTGCAATCGCCATAGTACAATACAGGCTAGGTACCCTTATCTGTTTACAATAAATGTGTTGACTGGAATTGTAGGTGATTGTCTGTTAGGTCTACTTGTTCTCCCAGCATGTCTTACAGGAGCCATCTACAGGAACTTTACTTCGAACACACTTCCAGATTTGCGAGAGGATATAATCCTGGTAATACGAAGACACATGTGGTTCATGCATGTTGAGGCACCAGCACATTGTAGTCATATTGTTCCCGATGTACTGACTGACATCTACCATGAAAGCTAGTGGAAGACCGGTTCTGTGACTTGCAATTTCCTCCGACCTCAATCCTTTGGGGTTTATCTGTGCGGCCACCGAATAGAATTGGATTATGCAACAGAAATTAATAATGCAGAGACGTTATATCAACTTGTCATGGGGGTCTGTGAAACCATTCGACACTGTGTGTGTATTTGAAAGGGTGCGCCAGTCAAAGATCCAACGGGTGGAAGGAAAGGAGGACATTTTAAATGATTATCATGAGTTGTTGTGTTGAATTACAACAATTTTCTTTTAGGCATATGATTGTCTTAACATTCTACCTTGTTTTGGTGTCAGTAATCCGCAGGCAATTTTTGTAAAAGTATTTTTGATACACCCTATATACATCCTTGTGCAAATTAACCAAAACATCCTATTTAGTTTCCTTTCTTTCGCCATACGGTCAGTTTTAGACCCACTGGAGTGACAGGGTGTAATCGATTTCATTTTTTTTTTAGATTAGGCCCTTTTAAGTAGTGTACAGTAATATGAATCTATTTTGGGGTGAAGATGAAATTTTTTTGGCTTTGAACAATATTGCGTCATGATGGATTCTTCCAAATTATAGTTAGATGGGAGTGTTTATCATATATAAAATACGGGGTTACTTTTTAGTCACCCTGTATATAATGAAATATAAGAGGATTTAATTCATTTTTCTCACTTATGTTCATGTCCAATTCTTTTACAAATTGAAGAGTCTTCTTAAAAGGAAGAGTCTACTTTAGCACAAGGAATAACAGAATACAAGATGGAAGACACTGTAAAATGAATAAAAAAAAGAAGAATATTGGCTTCGTAGTTATTCGTTCGGAGTTGTATAAAATACAAATATTACATGCTGCAATTACGGGGCTATTTGTGGCTAAGTTTTGTCAATCGATAGAGAGACACGTGAAGGTCACATCCGCGGAAGATTTTTACTCGGATTTTAATCATTGCGTCAACTTCGACCAACAAATGTCGGGGCTGAGAGAATAACATCCAAGAAGAATGAAACGAGTGGGTTGGAATCGGAAGCGAATGAAAATAATCGCGGATTGAGTTTCTTTCTTATTTGCTACTCATTCTTCGTTAGTTTCGTCTCTAGTGTGTTTCTTTATTCCTGCCTCGTTACCTGGATTTTTCTTTTGTCCTTTTGATGGGCCTTCTTTCTAGATTTCTTTTCTCCATTTTTTTTTCAATTTCTCGTCCACGTTCAATATCAGATTGGTTGCGTTTTCCCGCCTGTTCTCTTTCCTTGTATTTCTTTGCCTTTTGTTCTGTTCTTAAGTTCCTATACTATGCCAACATTCAATGCTTCCGTAAAATGCCTTACAAAATATATTTCTATAGACATCCAATCATATATTTAACAATCTGCGAATAGTTATGTAACACCAAAATTCTAAAGTATACTGGAATAGCGAAATATGCCTTCAAAACAATTAAACCAAATATATATATATATAGACAGGAATATTTCCTTGCAAATGCTAAATTGTGTTATATATGAATCAAGTGTCGCTAACGACACAGGAATTTGAACTCAGATCACCAGAGAGCAAACACAGGCGATCCCATTTTGTTTTTAGATTTGTAAATTGTTATTTTATTCTCCTCTCCAGACAATGAATTGTACATATGGGGACTAGTTCGGACTTAATTAGAGACATTATGGTAGATGAGGTAAGGATGGTAAGTGTGACGGATGCAGATAGCCCAAACACGCATACATGCATATATTAAGGTTAATCTCCGCCTGACAACAGAGGAGATCACGTGGGAGTCTCGTGACATTTTGGGAAAGCAATTCAAGAGGTTGACTGACCCAATTACCCGTAGCAACACATGTCTAGACAAAAGCTAGACAGGGGACTGACGTAAGGTCATGAAACAGCAGGAGCTGGAATTTGCGCCAAAATGCAGGACACGTGGGAATTAGAAAATCACTTGGAAGTCAGGTGCTGTCTTGTCTTTGAAGGAGCAACACTCGAAATCGAAGCGCTGATAACTTATGAACGGAAAGATGAGACTCATTTGATAATGATGGAACTTGTCCGATTCATCCCAGGCAACTCCGGACAAGAAATATAACAATATGTATTTCTGTTCGTTAATCCAAAGCTGAAGACGATAAATCGAGTTATTTATCATAGAAGACACAAGGAAATTTGTATGCTGAGAATACAGCCTGCGTTTGAAGAAAAGAGAAAACCAGAGAGGAAGAAAGTATATATCTCTGTTACAAGCTGAATTGTGTAAAGAAGAAGAAAGAAAGAAAAGAGAAAACCAGAGGGAAGAAGGTATATATCTCTGTTGCAAGCTGAAATGTATACAGAAGAAGAAAGAAAGAAAAATGAAAACCAGAGTGAGGAAGAAAGTGTACATCTCTGTTACAGCTGGACCGAGTGGGAAATTATATTTGTGTAAAGAAAAGGAAAGAAAGAAAAGAGGAAACATGAGAGAGAAAAGAAAGGACAATGATAAAAAAAGAGAACTGAATATAAAGATAAGTAATTATATATTTTGGACCCATGTTAGAAAGATACACATTCATCCATAAATATTATGTTCTTACAAACACCTTTCCACATGTCAAAATAATAATATGTAACTCCTATCCCATCTCTTTTGGTTATGCGTTGATTTCTGCATTCGTAGTTATTCATACTTAATTTTTTATCCGTTCGGGTTCAGTCGAATCCATTTGGAGTGAGGCATATTTTGATATCCCAACGTAAGTCTTGAGATCTGGTCGGTGGATGTCTTACTCATGCTTATATTTTCTTTTATTTTAATATTTTGTATAATATGTACATATTAAAGTTCTTATATCAAAATTCAGTAAGCCTTATCGTTCATCCTTGAATTGTGGATCAGTATTCGTGTTGAAACCGAAGCAAACCTGGGGAAAGATTACTGTTCGATTATCCTAATCGAAAAGTGGTCTTTAAAATATTTTTGTTTATTAATTGTCCATTGTCATGATCTGAGAGTGATAGCCTGTATCTCTCCACAGATGTGATAATGTATATATCTTCTGGCCGGCGTATGATCGCCTTATAAACCCATTCGTCGACTACGGCATATGACAGTGAGTAGGAATGTGTTGGTTTGGTAAAGGGAAATATTAGATTACGTTTGGGTCAGTGTTAATGGCTAGCTAGGTTTAATGTTAAGACAGAAGAAGACCGCCCTTTTCCCCATTCCGCTTTTTGGCCTTGTTCCACATTGGTACATGTGCTATAAAAATCATCACTATAGAGATTACTTTCGAGTGTGCTGGTCAAACTCTCTGCCTCCGAGCAGAGAAGATCCCCAGGCGAGGTTATGTCGAAGGGCAGAGTCTCGTCTCGGGAGACAGCTACCCGATCCCTTTTTTTTTACGGGTTCTACGGAGGATTTTTCGCCTAGCCTGCGGTCTCGGATACCCAACAATAAACTCGGCCTTGTGTCACATCTGACCGCGTGGAGCGTTTATTGAATATCATCGCTTTACAGATTATTATTTGGGTCATTATTCCATGGTTACTTTTCGAGAGTGTATTATCGAGCAAATAATATTAGTGCGAGTGTTATTCGAAGGCATCTGACACCAGTATAGTTTAACGGTGTTACTATAGTCGTATCTGCGATTACAAAGTCTATCCTACGACGAACATTACGAAGGTGAAAACGAGTATTCGTTGACATTACAAAAATGGCAACGAGTGTTCGTTGACATCACAAAACATTGTATATATAATAACAATCTACCTATATATTGAATTCTGAATAATTTTCTTACAGGTAAAAAGTTGATTTGAGGCAAAATAGTGGAGAATGCTGAGGATGTCTTGAACGAGAGATTTGCAAAACGAGAATGTTTTCAGAAAAATGAGAACAAAAAACAATTGTAACTAGAATAAAAAAAAATGAAACTTCGCGACAACATAATGAGGAAAGAAGGTTTGGAGAATTTGAGAAAAAGGTAAGCGAGGCGGGGGGAAAATAGCTCGTTATACACCTAACAAGATTTTTTTTTTAAAATGGATGGCAGAATCTGGGCTGAGAGGAACAGTAAAGACACAAGTCACTGCTTAGAGTCACAGAGGACAGGAAGAGAGCCATTACTGCCTAATTGTTGAAAGACACACGCCAAATAAATCAATAATATTATTACGATTACGTTTCATTAATTTTCAGTTGAGGTGCTGCCAAAATCTAGTATTTTCTTTCATTTTTGAAGTCATTAGGTTATATATATATATATATAGCCCCCGAATTTCAACTATGCAGCAATTCTTTCTGCATTGGACGGCATGGCACGGGTTACAGTTGAGAGGACAATATATTCCTTTGGTCTCTATGCACAGTATACTCACATCATATCCACCGACTGTAGAGAGGTGATCAGAATATAGTGTCTGTTCACCATGGAAAAATATTACATACAAGAAAGAAAGCACACACATAGATAGATAGATAGATAGATAGATAGATAGATTGGCTGCTGAAAAATCATCGCTATGAATTTTGGTGATTTTCAATAGCGTAGCTTAGATGTAGGAAAAGGCCGAAAGTATGGGATACCCAATGAGGATCGAACTGCCTGTTCAGTAGTAAGTGATCTAAAGAGAGACGCTTAGTTACCATTACACCACGTTAAAGTACTCCATCTCTATAAATTATGAGGTTTGGTATGATTTTGTATAGTAGTACGGACCGAGTACATTTAAACATTTTGTATATAAATATAAGTAATATCTATTTGGCATTTTGTATAGAATCAGCTTGATATGATTCGTCAATGATCCACTGTGTTCGAAATAGGAAAAGAAAGAAGATAGGAAAAGAAAGGAAAACATTTATCCAGAAAAGACAACGGGGTGGGGCAAGAAAAAAAGAAAACAAATGAACATGGAGGTAAGAAAAAAGTAAACGTGACTAAAAAAAAAAAGAAGTATCTGGTACATTTTAGAGGAAAAAGATGTTGAAAAGATAAAAGAAGATAAAAAAGAAGGAAAAAGACAGAAGTAGAATGAACAGAAGTATATAAAGTGAAAAATAAGGGTGAATAAATTAAAAAAAAATAAAAACGGGAAGTAATTTTAAATATGAACCGCGTTCAAATACTTTTATTTGCATAGAAAAAAATCTATATTACCGTAAACAAACGTATAAAATAGTATCGTTAAAATGTATCGACAAAATTGTTCGAAAATAATTTCTTCGAAAAGAATTGTTCGAATTGTAAATTGCTTGGATGGAAATTAATCGAAAGGACACTTATACTAAATGATTTATTCGAAACACCTATGTTTGAAATACGTATGTTTCTCTTGTTTTGAGAGAGTCAATGCTGATTCACCAAGTATTAATAACTCCCTTGAAGGAGAGCATAGGTCTTTTTTGCAGTAAGTGCCATGACATCATCCCACATTATGGAAATCTTTAGAGACTCTTAAAAAAGGACAGAACTTGTGATAAATTCATATTGCAAAAATAAAAGCAGTTTACCAAAATATACAATTGAATACATGGTAGATGAAACTAAATATTTGTGCAAGTAAATATTAGGTTGGTGCAAAAATAATGTCGTTTTTGACGTTCAACTTAACGTCAAAACGACATTATTTTTGCACCAACCTAATATTTGTGTGGATTACTGGAAACAGCGATATTATGTTGTAGCTTTGTTTATGTTATTATAAAGAATACAGCTTGACTTAAGAAATTATAGTATAATGATTTTCCAAGCGTAGCTTAAATGTAGCGCAAGGCCAAAACTAGGAGGCACACAGTGGGAATCGAACTCACTAGTAATTGTTTTAGAGAGACATTCTTGCTAACCATTACACCACCTCGAGGTGCCCAAGAAATTATAGTATATTATATGAACTAATGTTATGAAAGTGATCTTTCATGTTGGCTGTTTGGTTGCTTGATTTTGTTGGTAGCTTGATTATGTTTGGCAGCATATCAACATATCTGTCAATATTTCTTAGATGAGATATTATGTATATTATTTACATTATTCGGACTATTGTCCTCAACTTTGTCGCTATATATTTCACAACGTTTCGGCCATTTTAGGCTCCGGCCTTCTTCAGGTGGTTGGAATGTCGAACTGAACCCTTTATTTCGCTCACTGGGGTAGACAGTTCTAGTTGCACTTGCCATGTTTAATGGATATCAGTTATCAGTTATCTCATGTTAATTTCTCTCTGAAAGGTCTCCACTGCATTTACCGGGAAAACTCACACTCTTTGGGTCCTGTCACTGGATCTAACCAACGCCATTATCCACTATGCGACGTGTCCTTGAGGGATATTGAGCAGTTTACTTAGTTACTTTTTGCTCGTATTTGGAGTTTTTTAGGCTCTGAGCTTGAATCTGGACGATTGTTTTCGCCACAATTTCATGTTCATAGTTCTTTTTTATTCCTCATTTTTCCTTGAGCATTGGTTTGTTCAACTTCAAGCCGAAATACCTTAGATTTTTCCAAGTACCACTATATATATATATATATATATATATATATATATATATATATATATATATATATATATATATATATACCGCTTTGCCGATTGATGAGCCAGGAGTGTGAGAATTTAATGGCTATCTGATAAGTTAAGTTTTAAGGCCTCCATTTTATAGATAGAGAGTATTGTTGGTTATTTCTTAGGTAAGTGTTTGTCATTTGTATTTTTTTAGTTCGTTTCATTTCCCTGTTTTCTTATGTAGGTTCGTGTGTACGGGGGATTATTAATATACTTATTTTTCTTTTTATTGAGCTTCGTCTTAGTCACCTGGTAGGCTTTCTGTTGGTTGTAACAACACTTCGCATTATATATAAATATATTTCAGTCAGTTATTTGTCATGCGAGATATACACTTACACATGTACTTTTCTGACGAGGTAGATTTTTTCCCGCGGTAGGTTGCCATTTATTTCTGCGTTAGACCGGTCTGTCCTGCTATTTACCCATAGCTGGGGGGAGAACATTAGGATTAATACTTTTCCCAAGCCTATTAGCACCTAAGTGAATGTAATGGATTTGACTGGAATTCGAACTCTGCTCCCTGATTCCTGAATCCGAACCGCTATACATTAATCCATCGAGCCTATTTGAAGAGGGAAGATTTTTTAGGCATCTATTTTATAAGTACCAACACTTCGTATTATATATATATATATATATATATATATATATATATATATATATATATATATATATATATATATATATATATATATATATATATATATATATCAGTCAGTTGTGTGCCATTCGGGATACACGCTGAGGCGATCATGTATCTTTTCAATACATCTCTGACGAGGCAGATTTTTTTTTCTTCTCAGAGTAGGTTTCCATTTCTTTTTGCTGTTGACCAGTTGCCATCCAAGGCTATAGAACTCGGCTTGCCTTGCTATTTTCCCAAAGCTGGGGGAGTAGAATAGGATTCATACCTTTTCCAAGAGTATCAGCACATAAATGAATGTAAGGATTTCAACTGGAATTTGAATAAGAGATTATAAAAAAAAAAATATATCGCTACACAAAGTCTTTCATGTTTCAATACTGAGTGGACTTCCTCAGGCGTTGGGTGGAGTTACCAACCGTCGTCTGACGAAATACAATCATAGTATAAAAGCGGTGTAAAATGTTTTTTTTTTATTACAATTTCGTATAATAAAAATATTATAATAATATTTTGAACTACTTTGTATTGAGCACTTATTTAAAAAGTAAATGCTACGAACAATGGATGCTTACTCCATTTTTTTTTTTATTTATATATATATATATATATATATATATATATATATATATATATATATATATATATATGTGTGTGTGTGTGTGTGTGTGTGTGTGTGTGTGTGTATTTATAAATATAAATATAAATTAGAAAACTGTAGTCATTGCTATTGTTTTCCTATTGTCATTTATATTTATAAATATTGTCTTTTCTACAGGTTAACTCTGAGAAATTTTCATGTATATATATATATATATATATATATATATATAGAGAGAGAGAGAGAGAGAGTAAACATCCACCATTTTTATTTATATATATATATATATATATATATATAGAGAGAGAGAGAGAGAGAAAGAAAGGGAGAGATAAACAGTAACGAATAGCGCAAAGTTCAAGATTTCCTCCACAATAATCCATAACACATGGAGGTGAATTCCTTGTTTGTCGGATCAAGTACTTTTGAGCGCAGACTCGTATATGTATCTTTGTATGCATGGATGTATGGATGTATGGATGGATGGATGTAGTTATAGCATCGTTTCATGCTCCATTCATATTCGTCAAACATCTGATTACACGAGCAAGGAAAATATGGAAATTGTGATGAGATTCGATGCCAAGTAATTTCATATCCCGAGCATATCTACATCATCTCAGAGCCAGAAACCATTTTCCTCTCATGGGCTTCCGTAACACAAACTGACGAAAATGAAACGTGTGAGTTCAAAGGCATGAAAATAGGCGGGAAAAAATTGACTTGTGTAAAATTAATTTTGCCTCTCTCTCTCTCTCTCTCTCTCTCTCTATTGTTTCCTGATTAATTCATTTGACATCTTCCTTTTTTCCTAATAAGTCTCTTCTTTTTGACGGTGCAATTTTCATCGTCTCAATTTTCATTGTTTACTTTTGGGTTATTTTTCTTTGCTTTTGTTATTTTTTTATTTCTTTAATCAATTCGATTCCCATCTCGTTCTTTTCTCTTTCTCATTTTTAACCACTCTCTTTCTTTTCTAATTTTTTTATTTTTTTCATTTTCGTTTTATTCTCGTCACCTTTTTATTGGATTCTTTCTTTATTACTTTTCCTTTTTTCTTTTATTCGATTCTTTTCTTGTCATTTTTATTTCTTTTTCTCATTTTTATTCTGTTTGGTTTTCTGTGACATTCTCTTCCGACAATTTTTGTTTTCTCTTCATTTTCTGTCATTTCTCGCACAGTTTTCGTCATTTTCCTGTCTTCTCTTCTTTTCTCTTTTGTTTTTCACACTTTCTTCCACCCTTTCTTGTCTGTTCTTCTCTTTCATTTTATCTTTCTCACTCTCTTCATCTTTTTCCTGTCAACTCTTACTTTTGTTTTTATTATTTTTTACTCATCTTTTTTTTTTTTCTCACCGTCTTGTTTTGAATTTAGTCTATCGTTATTACTTCCTTTTCTTTCCTTTCACCTCTTTTTATATTGGTCTTTCTTTTCTTTCACTCTTTCTTGTCTTCTTTTCTTCATTCCTTTTGTCTTTTTTGTTGACTTCTGATCATTCTTGCTCTCTCTTCTTTTTTTCCTTTTGTCTTTTATTGCCGTTTTCCGCTCTTTCTTGCTTTCTTTTTAATCATTTGTCTTTCTCTCTTTTCTCCTATTTTCTTGTATTTTCTTCTTTTTTCACTTTTATCTTTGTTATATCGGAATAAAGCGTCGCTGTCGACACACGAGTTTGAACACAGATCACCAGAGAGCAAACACTGGCGAGCCCATCTTGAATAAGTAGATCACATAATGGCAAAGGAAATGTATATATTAGAATTAGCGTGGCGTCTAACTGATCAATCTTTCTATTCTAACCTCTGTTATTATACGGATCACTATTTCTACACTATCGTCTATTACTATACGGATAGCTATTTTCTATACTATTCACTATAATATTTCTCAATACTGATCACTATATGGATTACTATTCGGATTACTATTTCGGTGGTTACTTATCGAGCAAGTATTATTGGTACGAGGCGTCTGACACCAGTATTGTTCAACGGCGTTACTATAGTTGTATCTGTGATTACAAAGTCTCTACTACAACGAGTATTACGAAAGTGATAACGGATATACGTTGATATCACAAGTCTTTGTCACTCTTTCGTTCTCTCTTATCTTTTCTTCTTTTCCCTTTCTCACTGTTTTTTCTCTTTTCTTGTCATTTCTTTTTTTTTTCACTCCGTCTATTTTCTGCCATATTTTCTTTCACTTTTGTCTTATTTATTCCCTTGTTATTTTTGTTTTCACTTATTTTTCTTTTTAATTTAGTTGTATTTATTCGTTTCGCCTGTTTATTTTCATCTCATTAATTTATTTTTTTTTCATTCTTCTTCTACAACTCTTTGATTTTCTTCTAATCATTTTTCTTTTTCTTTGTCTCTTCGCCTCTCTTATTATTTATTCTTTCACACTCCTTTTCTTTTCTGTCTTTTCTTTCTCATTTGCTTCACAGCATCATCTGCTTCTCTTTCTTTTGTTTCTCTTAATTTTATTCTCTTCTTTTGCCTTATACTTCTAGCTTGATATTGATTCTCTTTCCTGTTGACATTGGCCTTCTTCTTCATATGTTTGCATATTCTCAGCTGCTACATTTAATTGTATTTTTATTTTTCATTCTCGTACCCTCGTCTCTATTTCTCTGAAAAGTTCTCTGCTCGATTTGGAATTTTTTTTTTCTAAAAATTCTTGATATTTTGCCATTTGCTTTGATTTCGGAAATTTGGTCATCTGAGAATATTTCAGTAACCTTTTCGTTTTTTATTCAATTACTTTATTTAGTGTAACTTCATAGTATTCGTTTCTTTCCTTGTTTATTTTTCACTTCATTTACTTCTGTTCATTCTTCTTCTTCTTCTTCTTCTTCTTCTTCTTCTTCTTCTTCTTCTTTCTTTTCAATATCTTTTTTTTTCAGTTCAAATTTACAAGATTTCTTATTTATTTAGTCACGTTTATTTTTTCTTTCCTCAATGTTGATTTTTTTTCTTTCTTTCATGTACACCGTTATAACTTTTCTGGATATATGTTTTACTTTCTTTCTTTTTCTACATTATTTTCCTTTTTCGTTTACTCTTCTTTTTCCTTCTTTCATTCCTTCGTTTTCTTTTTCATTTTTCCTTTTATTTCTATATTATTTTCCATTTCATTTTTATTTTTTTTCCTTTTCTTTTTCCTTCTTTCTTTTCCTACCTTATATCATTCTTCCTTTATATCTTCTTTTCCTGCTTCCTATTCTCCACAACTTCCTTTTTCCCTTTACTTTAATCTCCCACTCGATATTTTTCCCTAACGTCGTCTTTTCCAAAACCTTTTACTGGCAGTCTATTTACCTAGAAGCCTTACGCTTCTGTTAACAAATACGCCTGCTTTATTTTCCCCACACAATTTCCTTAGCTAACGCTCTTCTGTATCGACGCCTATTTTTTTCGTTCTTTTTTTTCATCTGCCTTCCTGATGAGCAAACGTCATCCATTTTCTCCCTTGATCTGTTACTATGTATGCCCGATCCTCTTACTGACCTGCAAACGGAAACCAGTCAACCGGCCGATGAGTCGACCAGTTTATACAAATGCAGCGAGTAAATAGAATCTTCAGCTCGACGTTTTGTTGAAACAGTTGCAAAATTAATTACATTATAACAGATTGAATTTCAATACAAATGTACGAGTAAATAGGGTACTTTCCAAATTCTGAGGCAGAATCGTATTTATTTAAGCGAATTCTGAGCGTTATCTACGGAAAATTAAAAAATATATATATATAAGTTCAAACAAAGAATATTTGTTACTGTCATTTATTTGCCTCCTGACAATGGAGAACTAAACCACAAGTCCTTTTACAACATTGCATTGCAACCATTGAAAGTTTCACTTTAGCAAGACAATTAGTAGAAATCTAGAAAATGAATGTGTATCTATAAATTGACAATAAAGTCATTAAGGTCTCAGATTAATGCGTTAACCTCCCTCATCAACCGCCATAGAGGTCATGGTACACAACCTCGCACCACATCATAATATTTCCTATGGCAATATAGTTAGGATTCGCCAGTGATACATCAGTTATATGCCATGCATGATACACGCTTAAACGATCATGTATTGTTCAATACATGACAGACCAGGCAGATTTTTCCTGCAGTAGGTTGCCATTTCTTTCTGTGGTAGAGCAGTTGGCATCCAAGTCTATAGGACCCGGTCTGTCCTGCTGACGTGGGGAACAGGAGGATTCATACCTTTCCCAAGGGTATTAGCACGTAAGTGAATCTAATAGATTCGACTGAAATTCGAACTCGGCTCTCCGATTCCTCAGTCCGAGCAGCTATCCATTAATCCGCCGTACCTACGTTTTATAATTCAGTGCTGTCAATCCTGAACGAGAAATCAGTAAGCCGATTTCATAATTCGGCCGAGTTATATTCATTCCCGGGCCAAACCTTCTCATCCATATTTTCGCCATAATAAACCATAGAGTTTTACTTTAATCCTGGGTGACAGTCTGTCTGAAAGAACGACAACTTACACTGTAAAACCGTATATAGCCCTGGCGAATTTATCACCATTTAAATCACGATATAAGCTGTAAGATATTTCGTTTTTCCTATAGCATGATATAGTAATTATTAACATAATAATTTTAATATTACCGTATTTGACGGCCTATAAGACGCATGGACGTATAAGAAGCAACCCAATTTCAGCATGGAAAATCAAAAACAATTAGTAACCAGTAAATTAATAAACCTACATAAAGCATATAAGATGCAGGGGAAATTTAAAAGATATTTTTAGCGAAAAAAAGTGCGTCTTATATTCTGTCAAATACAGTAATTTCCAGACATTTAATATCAGAGATTTTTTTTTTAAAAAAAAGGAAAAAAGAAAACGCAAAAACGAAATGACGTATTGGGATAGCGAAATATGAAAAATATGCCTTCCAAAATCTAAGCAATTAAATTTCGTTAGAAAAGTAGAAAAGAGTACTGAATTGTTAGGTAATATCAATACTTCTCTATGGCCGTGAATGATGGAAAATCTTCTCACAGGTGAAGACGAGACTTGAAAAAGCAGAAATATGATTCTACAGAAGGATGCTGAGAATACCATAGAACGAACATGATAGTAACGACGAAGTTCTAAAGAGAATAGTAACACAAAGGACACTTAAGATTTATATCAGGAAGAGACTGTTCATATTTCTGGGTCATATAACGATGAAAGAGGGCTTGGAAAATTTGAAACTCACAGGACAGATTGAAGGTAAACGGACCAGAGGAAAGCAACACGTAACATACCTGGCGAACTTGTGTACAGGCGTAGCAGGTTTTAGGAGAGGTGGCAAAAACAAAGAGATAAAAATGACAGGAAAGTGTGGAGAGCCAGATCGCAAACGTCATGGTAGTACACGGCACACACAGAAAATAAATGAAAATTTTAAAGTAGGAGGATCAAGGATTTATTCCAAACAGAATTTATTTGAAAATTTGAAAGTGGAGTCATTTTCTTTTAAAATAAATATGTCTAAAAATTCCAAACTCCTTTCATGCCGGATAAAGTTAAGTTAAAAGATCTGAGCCTCGCTTCATCATGGAAATATGCTTAATTGGTGCCTGCTTAAAAGTCTGATTCACGTTTCATACTTAATGTCAATTCATTGCAAAAATTACGGTCTAAATTTCATTGTTAATATAAAAATAACTACAACTAACAAAACCATAAGGATTTACTTTCATAGGACTGACTTCAAAAAGTTCAGAGGAAATCCAAGAACCACTATAAGCACAACGCTGAACCGAGACAGTCAAAGAACAAGGCAGAAAGATTCCACTTTTCCTTTCGAGAAGTTTGCAATCAAGGAACATCTGCAACAAATCCACAAAGGACAGAGGAAGCTGTCAAAATATTGTCGAATCAATATACATTGTCATTGAAGATGAGAGAACATGTTAATTCATGACCTCAAATCGAAAGAATTTTGACGATGATGATGTAACATTTTGTTTTTGAATTTTTCTACACAGAAAAGATCTATTGCAATGATCTAATATATACTCAATTTTGGGACTAATTGTGTATTTTCAGGATTATCATCTGATTAAGAATATACACAGAAAAAAACATAATACAGAGATCAAGCGACAGTATGTCATATTATTTATCTAATGGTTTTACTAATGTTGTAACTGGACGGATTTGCTTGTTCTTTGGGTTTCCAATTCGTCCATTTTCTTTTAAGTCTTTCTCAGGAATGCGCTGCATAATCTACTAACGATAGAGACAAAAGTTTACATTCTGTTCCCCAAAAGTTACAGTTCTCTCAAAAAGTGCATGTAATTGTTTAGTGCGTTTTATTTCAGTTCGCTGCCTGGCGGAAAACAAAAAGCCATTATGTAACAAAATTTCTTCGATTTTTTTCACGATTTGCCATTTTGGCCGAGACTGGGAAATCCGTTTATATTCGTAAATCACAAAGAAATTACTTTTCTCTCTCTTGTCTACGGCAGATTCTGACTCTTGCATTAGGTCACATAATGAAAACAAGTTGATTTTTTCTGCACATTAAATATATATTCTTTATATATTTGTTCTGTGACCATATGCTATATTCAAGTATTGTTTGATTTAATTTCTTATCTACGTCACCGGATAGACTGAATTCTCCAATTTTATGAGTTCTGTCTTCCATTTTAATTGTGCTGTCGTGCCAATTACATGCTATGATTAACACAATTTTGTTTCTTGTTTTAAATGACCTCTGTGTAACATTGCTATTGGTACTTTTTTTTCTTTTATGTTACCTTTCGTTTTTTTTTCTTTTCAAACCGCCATATGATTGTCTTAGAGATTTAAAAAAAAAAAAATTGTTTTTAATTTTTATCTAATGTTTGATATCTTGTCAGTTATTCTGCAGAACAGGGTTATGCCAATCCAATACTTGTTATTTTTTTCTAAAATGGATAATCATAGTGTTCTTTAAAGGCCAAACCGGTATATATTTTCACTTCCGACCGATGAACTTCCTCTTTCATTTTATATTTCCATCCCTCTAAAAACATCTTTAGAAAGCATCGACGTAGCCGGAGTTCTGTTTTAAAAAGAACACTTAAATGATACGTGATAAAGGTTAGTGAGAATTCTTCAAGGTGATTATGGATGGAGCAAGAACAGAAGATGCAAATGATAAAAAAAAAATATTTCCTGTGTGCGTGGATGTTCACTAAGGAGATCGTGAAAACGGGTAGACAGTTACTATATCATAAGAGACGATTTCAAAAGAGAGTTTTCTATTGACTGACCAGTTACTACAAATTGGCGCCATTATTGTTTAATGCTATGCTTGGCTGAATTAAAGCAATGCAATGAAAGTTAGACATCGTCTGCTGCTACGTCTAGGCGCGCTGTCATGTAAAATCCGATGGCGGATTCAACCAGGCATATTGGTATGGAAATGGAATTATCACTGAATTCTGTATTAATGCAAGTGATGTCGCAAGCCAGCGCAAATTTCCAAAGTATTTGGAAGTTCAACTCATATCAGAGAGCAATGCAAAATGCATTTTTACCAATTTCTCTTGTCACACACACACACATATATATATATATATATATATATATATAGATAGATAGATAGATATATAATATCAACATTTTGGAATTATATATATATATATATATATGTGTGTGTGTGTGTGTGTAATTTGAAAATATTGGTCCGTAGACAGCCTGACAAACGGCCTAAATAGAAAAACCCTAGAAAAGAAAAAATTACTCAACCTAAGAAAGAAGAAAAAACGAAAATGTGAGAACTTATATAAGCAGTAAATTACACTGAAGTGGTGTGATAAAGCGAAACTCTCTGTCTGTTGAAGACAATATACGCTACCGTTCGTCTTTTGAGCATTTTGGATAAAAGAGATTTCGTAATGAATAGAGCATTTTGAAATTTGATAATGCTTATATCAAGTATGTAATACGTTAAAATTTCCCTTTCTCAGTAGCGTGCCCCGAGAGGGGTAAGAATATTCGCCTAATGTCAAATCGGTCGAGTTTCGATCCCGGCTTTAAGGAATCACATGTCTAGCCACACAGAATTGCAGTGATACAGTCTGTCTATGGATGACGTATATATATATATATATATATATATATATATATATATATATATATATATATATATATATATATACTTAATTGTATTGATGTGAGTTGTGACCCTGTGGTTCACGGTCTTGCGATCGTCAGACAAAATCTATATAGACGAACATACACACACACAGATATATATATATAT